ATTCAGGCCACTAGGCCTTGCATTTCTTTGTTGCAGTGTTTGCATTTTGCATGCCTTCCTGCCTTGCCCATAGGTAGAGGACCTTCATTAAAATATTGCCAAACTGGATCTCTTTTATGACCTGCTGTCATTACAGTGGTGCCTCGCTAGACAGTTACCCCGCATGACAGTTTTTTCGCTAGACATTGACTTTGTGATCCCTATAGTGATTCGTAAAATAGTGATTCCTATGGGGGAATTTTACTGGACAATGTTTGGTCCCTGCTTCACAAACCGATTTTCACTAGACAACGATTTTGACGCTTTCCTCCGCGCTTGCAAACAGGTGTTTTCGGGACCTAAGTTTCGCAAGACAGCGATTTAAACAGCTGATCGGTGCTTCGCAAAGCGGCTTTCCTATGGTCGATCTTCACTAGACAATGACGATTCTTCCCCATTGGAATGCATTAAACAGGTTTGAATGCATTCCAGAGGGGAAATGCTTTTCGCTAGACAATGATTTCGCTAAACAGCGATTTCAGGGGAATGGATTATCATCGTCTAGCGAGGTACCACTGTATAGGCTTTCTCCTCCATGGAAAAATAATATGATACTGTACTGTAAACCTCAGACTATGTAAAAAAGAAACACCATCAAAGTGGAGCATTTGACTCAGAAAGTTTCACTTTCATTTTTAATGCTTGTCTTTTCTCTCTTCGCACTTAGCTTCTTGTGAAGATTTATTCCACTCCCAACAATCTTCTTCTATTCATTGACCTTTTTGAAATTTAGCACTTAGGATGTAAGGATTTGATCCTGTCTAAATAGATTTGCCAAGGAACAATGGGAATTTTTCAACTCTGTATGTTTATTTTATAACATTTTTTTGTGCTGAGGAAGAGGCATGTGATCTCTGCAGACATAAAGTGCTGAGGCATGTGATCTCTGCAGACATAAATTCACAGTTTTGAGATCTGTAAAATCAAGCATCTGTGATAATACCTCTGAGATGGAAAAAGTGTCCAGTAATCTTACAGAAACGCCTGGAAGAGCATGAATGGCTTAATGGAATTCATTCACCAAAAAATTTAAACATTGCATGAATATACCGCCTCAGACTACATAATTAAAAATGAATCCTTATTTCATGATGGGCTATTGTCATAATAGACTAATCCTTATTTTACCTTTGTATTATAAAGTATCTTAAATAGAAAACTATGTTTAAATAGATTTTCCCCTCAAAAAGCATTTAATTAAAAAACCCCAATTTAAATTAAAAATATCTGATTTAAATACAAAATCCAATTTTTAATTATTATTTCTTAAATTATTGATATTTATCCACCCTGGCAAACTATTTATGTTTCCATGGTATGCATGTAGATGTTTATATGTTATAGAGAACTTTGGAAAATTGACCCCTCTTCCCTAGCACTGTGTAACACTCGTATAAATACTTGTAACACTTGTTTTACAATGAAAAGAGAGCCAGGGATTGGCATAGGGTGGGACTGAAGGAAGGTGGGTTGTGAGCTATGGTGTGGATCCAGCTGCATCAGATTGAGGGGCCAATGTTTTACATCACAGCAGTCTACAGTCTCCATGTGATTACCTAATCTGAACAAATACCTAAAATACTGTAGGCTGCTAATCAAGCCATGGCAAAGTACCAAAAGAAAGGAAGGAAGGAAGGAAGGAAGGAAGGAAGGAAGGAAGGAAAGTTTTCATATGCATACACCAAGGTTTATGAAGCTGGGATTGAGCATAAGGGGTATACATCCAAACCAGGCCAGTTTATGCTTCTGTAAAATCCTCCATCTTGTTAGACGACTAACAAAGAGATGTGAAGTGCTGAAACTGCTCCTGATGTTTGAAACCAGACTCCAAATGACATACTCATAGCTTAAATTGTTCTAAACCCCTCACGTTCTTAAAATTGTTTTGTACAGTTTTGTAACACGCCCTTAGAGTCTGTGATATATGGTAAGCTATTTATTATGATACGATACGATACGATACAACCTTTCTCGTTAATACTACATTCAGAACTCAGTGAAACTGGATTGAACTATACTTAGCATAATGTGGATCAATGCTAATGTTGCAATCCTATGTATGTGTCCATGAGAGTAGCCCCTGTTCACCTCAGTGGGGCTTACTTCTGAGTATACATGGAATTCTATAGGTAGCATTGCAATTTTAGATTCAAAAGGCAGATGTGGGTGGTGTGGGAACTTGTTCTCTCCCCTTCCAGAGACAAAAAACTACAAGGCTACCTGTACCACCTATTGGTGAAAAACACCTTGGATTCCATGTGATAAGAATTATGTAGAAAGATGAAAATGAGGTTATATAACGTGATCTTGGTTTATGGTCTGTATACTGATCCTTCTTTCATTTTTTTGGACAAAGTATATGGTACCCATTTTAAAAATGGAAGCCTTTTGGCCTTTCGCATTGGAAAGCCCGCTTCCAGAAGAGCAATTGTGAATACAGAAGTAACAAGGGGAATATGCTCAACCCTTCCTTCCCATACAGTACTATCATCACCCTACTCCAAAATCCCCATTTAACTCCTTCCTTCCCATACTATCATCACCCTACTCCAAAATCCCCATTTAACTTCTCTGTTGCTGTAAAGTGAGAAGGCTATTTGGAAGGCCAGTTTGGAGGAGAAATAGCAAGTGGGACAGGATTAAGTACTTTTCTCTGCTGCCCTGATACATGGGCACTCATTACAGTTATTTCATGCTAAGGGAGATGCTCTCTTCATATCTGTTTAGGGGAAATCTAGAACCATTCCTTGCTTCTGACATTCCAGTAAAGAGGGGTGGTGCAGAAAACTGAAGTCGTGGTTGAGCTGGTATACATTAAACCATGAGTAAACTGTGGCCCTTCAGATGTTTTTCTACAGTAACTCTCATTAACCTTCCCAGTTGGCTATGCTTGTTAGCCAAAAACATCTGGAGTTGTCTACCTACACATTAAAGCTTAGACAAAGCAACAGCTTCTAATTACAAAAATTCAAGATTTGTTTCACTGTTGTTTTCTGTTTAGTAGAGAAACTGCTCACTATTAGAATACTGTGTGTCATTTTCTGGAGCACCCAGAGGTTCTTAGTTCAGGAAACCTTTGCCATGCAATTTGTGGGTCAAAACTGTGAATGTAGTTCAGTTTGTGCAAAGTCCTAGTTTGAGCCAACGTTCAGATCCAGCTCAGTTCTGTAACATGCAGATTAATAACAAAGGAGAAAGTATATATTCCACGGTGAATAGAATAGTAGAATATTCATCTTTCCTTGAAATAACAAAAAGCCACTTTACATATGGAATTAAGGGGGAATTTATACCAGCATGTTTGTTACTTGATGACATTAATGTGTTACACCTACTTTATAATAACACAGTACTACAGGCAGAGCTTTTGTTATCAGCTCACTTCAGATAATATCTTCTAAGGAGGCAGTGAGTGTACACATTGGTCTAGAAGCAACTGAGTCACTGATAAATGCTTCGCACAGAAGAATCAGTCCTGCATTGTAGTGCAGGCCTATAGCTGATGTCATCATTGGCAGCATTCTTGAATATTGTCAGAAGATTTCTAAAGCATAGCAAGAAGGTGTAGATGAGCACCATGACCACATATCCTTCCTTTTTCTCTTTTTCCTGTCCCCTGGCTTCACTGGGAGGAGACCAGTTTGTTCCCTGGCACTGCCACCGTTCCTCATTAAGATCCAACTAAGCAGTTCTGGCTTGATTCTGATTGACAGACCAAAATGATAAGCCAGGCTTGCACTGAACCTTTGAAATAATAGAATCATAGAATTGTGGAGCTGGAAGGGGCCTATAAGGCTAACTTCCTGCTCAATGCATGAATCCAAATCAAGGTAGATCTGACAGATGGTTGTCCAATTTTCTCTTGAATGCCTCTAGTGTTGGAATGCTCACCACCTCCCAAGGTAATTGGCTCCATTTTTGCACTGGTCTAACAGTTAAGAAGTTTTTTTTTTCTGATATTCAACTGAAATCTGGCTTCCTGTAGCTTGAGTCCATTATTACGTGTCCTGCACTCTGAGATGACTGAGAACAGATCCTGCCCCTTTCAAGTATTTGAAAAGTTCTATCTTATCTCCCCTTGGTCTTCTTTTCTCAAGATTAAACGTGCCCAGTTCTTTCAGTCTTTCCTCATAGGGTTTGGTTTCCAGTCCCCGGATCGTGCCTGTTGCCCTCCTTTGAACTTGCTCCAGTTTTATAATTGAATATACTCTTCAAATAATCCTTTTGTTCTAACTTTTGTTCAGTTTGTGGGGGCTGGGAGGAGTAATATTTTAACCATTGTGGAGAAATCTATCGTTATGGAAGGTTGAATGAATCTTTTGCTTTCAATAATGTTCGTACTATTTAAAGCACTCAATCCCATTTCTGCATCATTTTGCACTTATTTTTTCTTACGTAGACATGAAAATCAATATTTATTTTTGTATGTGGTTACCTTTAATATAGTATTTCCTATAATGTCAGCTCTTTTGCACAGTTTTCTTCAATGCCTCCCTTTTAAAAAATTGTAGTTGAAAATATTAAATTGAATTTTTTTTAATTTTATTTTTGGAGTGAAGGTGTTCATCCCAGTATTCAAGGAGATGCAAAAGCTGAAGGGTAATGGTGTCTTGGTTTCTATCTTAATTCAGGTAGTGCACATCAGGCCAGCTTGTATTACAAATGCAAGCTGAACAAATGTTTCCCATCTTCCTGTACCATGATCCTCACAATGTCAGTGACAGAAAACTGAACCATATAGCTATTTGTGTACGTATAACAAATCTGGGTAAGCCATAAGACTGATAGATGATAGTGCTGAAAGATTTTATGTTCTTATTTAGCAGGACATTCTGGGAATGATAATTTTGGTATCCGTAACTACTTGTAAACTGGAACCCCCCTCCTAAAGAAGCTTAACTTTACATCTGCTGCAATAGCCCTTGAGTAATCCTTCTGTCCTTTTTTCACCCCATGATTAGGTTAACAAAAGTCTCTCCAGCTGCAGGAAAAGGTGACATTCTTCCTCCAACCATACAGAAGATTATGAAGGGATATAACAAATATCTACGGCCATTTTTTGATAGTAAGTACAAAACTGTTCTAGCAGGGACAAGCTCTTGGCAGCAGGTAAAGAATGAGAAATATCCCAGCGAGAAAAGCTTTCTTGAACCTCTCTTCTTGACCGCATCATGCCATTTTGAGAAGTTAGGATGAGCTATATCATGAACAGCAAAAATTGTAAGGTACAGGAACATTGGGTTCTACCTCTACAAGACATAATGCTGAGACTCTATATCTAGCTAAAGAAACAGAGTGCACAAGCTAACCAAACTCAGAGCAAGCATAGAGTCTACACTACAATGAACATATTCTTTACAGAGGGTCAGGCACAGCACACACACCCAGCTACTTGGGGGGTGGTTCTCTGCTGTTGCCACACTGCTGAGTATACCATCTTGGAGGTTTCTGCATGATGCTACTTAAAGAGAATCAAGTAACCTGCTGTCTATACTACAGTGGGGTCTCGACTTACGAATGACCCTACTTGCGAACAATTCAACTTACAAACCCGCCCTATAGGGGAAATAAGGACTCGACATACGAACTTCCCTCGAGTTACGAACAGGAAAAAAAGTGCCCCCTCCCTCCCCTTAGAGGCTTCTGGAGGGGGAAAAAGGGTCAGAAACTTAAAAATAAATAAAAGAAAGTCACTTACCAGGCCTTGGTAGCCCCCAAACAGCAGGAAAAGAGCAGGAAACAGCTAAAAGCCCACACCAGAAGGGAGCCTGGCAGCCATTTTGTGCTCCCCCCTCCTGCACCGTCCTCTCCCCGCCTATCAGCTGATGGGCTGGCTCTGAAGAGGCTTGGGGAAGCTTGCTCAGCACCTAAAAAGCCTGCCTGTGTGTCTTTGTGCTGAAAAATCAGCACAACATGCTTTAAAACATGATCTAAAATTGGCTTCTGTTGAAAAAAAAAGTTTTCTAAAGTGCTTTGCAAACTGTTCCCTGCCTTCCTCCTTGTTTCCTGAACCTAACGGTGAAAAAAGAAAAAAAATCCCCTCTAGTGGCAGAAGGCAGAATAGCAGCTTCCCATTAGTTTCTACGGACGGAAAAGAGCAGATACAGATTAAATGGTTTTCAGTGCAATCCTATGGGAAATGCAGATTCGACCTACGAACTTTTCGACCTAAGAACCACCTTCCAATACGGATTAAGTTCGTAAGTCAAGACCCCACTGTATATTGAACATCATTTTGGGATGTGAAACTGATACCTTCACAGCCTTCCCACACTAATAATTACATGTTTTATAAATTGCATCGATGGCTTTACATTGGTATCCAGGCAGTATTAGTGGCTCTTAGTGCACTATTACAGAAGTCATGTTGAAAATAATAGAAATGCTGCTGCACCAGAGGTTCCTCTGTTGCTTTCTGAAGATTAATCCATTGAAAAATATTTTTATTTAGACTGGAGGAAAATTAATTCAGCTGTGTAGTACGAGCTTCAAAGAAGCAATTGCTACATGTTTTCCCTTATGCATAATTATGTATAATCAGATTTCATATATGCACATCAGATGTTAAGAGTTGCACATTTTTGTGTCATCTGCTGGGTTAGTAATTTATAGTGACATCTTTGTATTAAAGTAGGTTACTGAACATCATTTATAGTTACTACAAATCAAAGGAATGCACTGAGCTTCGCATTAAACCCCTCCTTTTAACAATTCTGAAAAAAGTAGAGACAGATGTTTTGGTGCCGATGTCTCTACCTCTTGTTGCCTAGGGAGACAGATGCTTTGAATACCAAGAATGAAATATGGAGCATCTAAACATGCCACATGATGAACAGGGTACCCCTCAGGGCATGAGACTGTAGCTGAATTAACTTCCAAAGCTGTGGCATTCCCGACTCCATTGAGCAAATTTTGAAACTGGAACTATATGCCCTTCCCCACACTGCTCAGCAAAAAACTAAAACTGATCTCAGGTTCTTATCACTACTCCCTGATCACTCCAGACTTACTCTTACATAAAAGGAACCATCTAGAAAGTGAACTGTTATGACATGCAGCCACTTGTTAGCCAAAGCTGTTTATATTGCCTGCCATATTGTTAAAGCTGCTATGTCAGATATTGAAACAGAATGCTGTATTTCTGGAGGAAGCAATGTGAGAGATTAAATATTTTATCAGTCCTCCTTTTGCTCCCAATTATTCAAACGTGGTATACATCAGTGGTTCTTAACCTTGGGTTGCTCAGGTGTTTTTGAACTGCAACTCCCAGAAACCCCAGCCAGCACAGCATTATGTCAGATATTGAAACAGAATGCTATGTGAGAGATTAAATATTTTATCAGTCCTCCTTTTGCTCCCAATTATTCAAACGTGGTATACATCAGTGGTTCTTAACCTTGGGTTGCTCAGGTGTTTTTGAACTGCAACTCCCAGAAACCCCAGCCAGCACAGCTGGTGGTGAAGGCTTCTGGGAGTTGCAGTCCAGAAACACCTGAATAACCCAAGGTTAAGAACCACTGGTATACATGAATGATAGTCTCCAAAGCATCAAAGGGTTGTGTGTTAATATAGCTCTGTACTTACTACTTCACTAGTGATCCTCTGTCTGGGTTCTGTTGGAAAGAGGCAAAATGTGTGTTCAGGATAAAATATCTGAAGCTGGGTACTTAGGGTCTGTCTGTCTCTTGCACTCTTTTCGTTTCCTTTGTTCCTCCTCTTGAAAATGCTACGCTAACATTGTTGACTAGACTTCTAGGGTGAGAAATTTATCTGCACAGGAGCATGCACCATGGATCTTGGAGCTACACCAGTGTAGTCTGGAATGGATGTCATTATCTTTCCAGATGAGCGAGTGAATTCAAAGGAAATGCCATAATAGAAAAAGAAGTTGGCCTCAGTGTCAAACCAGTTGACCCCCACTATCCTGGAACTAACTCCCCACATAAAGACCCTATACTCTTCCTGGCTTGAGGTTGCTGTGCTGGTATCCTCTGAGTCCAAGAGTATGGCTGAGAAGCTCTAGTGATGTCACAGTCCTCTGTGTGTCTCCAGAGCTGGTATAACAACAGCAAGTCATCTTTTGATTGTTCCACTGGAGGCAAAACCAATCATACAGGTTGATCTGGAGTCCTGTTTTGATCCGAGTCTGAAACTGGCTATTGCTGAAGCTATATTTAAGATAGCATGTGTAAAATCTCAAGTCTAAGTGCCTCATGGAGCTGTCCAGGGTGCTGCCTGCAACTTGAACATTTCCTTGTTGGAAACTAAGAATAGTTTTGTGCTAGTGGAGGAGTGAGCAAATTGCAGGGTTGTTAAATCCCCTCCACTTGTTTCAGATGGCACTGATCCTATGAATTGAGGACCTCCACGAGATCCTGTCATTATCGGCCCTTCTCAGGTCTGAAACTGAAGGCTGAGTCAATAGTCTTATGTTCTCCTATTGGTTCAGCTTTTTGTAGCAATGCTGTCTCTTCTAGTAAGTTTTGTCTTCACAAAGTAAGGCCACAGTCACACCAGAGAAATGTTCTCCACTTCTAACAATACTTTCCATATCTCTGTTTTAATGCATCACGGTCACATGGTGTATATATATATATACCTGGAGGAGCGTCCCAATGTGTTTTAACATTACTGATTCATTTTCTTTAATTTGAATTGTTATGGCCGGCTACACCATGGTACCAATTTATGTTCTCTCTTGTTTTATGTGGCACTGCAGCCCCTTAACTTTAATTGTATGTATTATATTATATATATTATCTCTCTCTATAAAATTAAACAGTACAATGATATGTTTCCTGATGGGTAGATTCGCCTCTGTTATGTTGGCACCTTCTGAAGCAATGCATTGCACTCAATAGACCCAGCACCCTCACTCTGGGTTATTCCACTTGCCAGACAGTAGGCGGAGTGATGTTACACCCTACCAATGCTTTTAAAGCAGTTGACATAAGTTTACCAATGTATTGACACTCTGGCCACAGAATTTTATTAATATTTTTAAATTAGAGAAGGGTAGCCACAGCAGTAATGGCGGCCACCTTCACATGTGCGACATTCTGGCCACAGAATTTTATTTATATTTTTAAATTAGAGAAGGGTAGCCGCAGCAGTAATGGCGGCCACCTTCACATGTGAATTTGCTTTAAAAAAGTATTGATAGGATTGTACATTTATGCCATACCACTAAGGAATATATCTATCACATTGTGTTGTGTCTGCAAATTTATGCTACAATCTAACTTGGGCGTAAGTAAGGAACAATTCAGCTGTGTAATCACACCCTGTGTCACAACTAAAGTAGGGCCTTTTGAATTAATAGAACTTCTAGAGGAGCTGATATATCAAATCCCCACTGATTTCATGGGCCAATTCTGGTTGTGATTTCCTATGTTGAACAAAAGAGTTTCAGCTAATATGTCAGAAGTGCAATACGCTCAGCTTAGTTGTTTTAGGCTGTCCTGAGAGTTCAGCCTTTATTTATTCAAGAACTCACTTCTCTATCTTTCTGGTGTAAAACTCTCTTTCAGCACCACATTTTGAAAGAGTAATTTTTTAAAAAAAATTACAGTGTAATAATTCAGTTTAAGTACAAGTGCTGTTTTATTGCAAAATTGAATGTTGATGTGAGTTGGTCGATACGTATTTATTCTGTATTGGTTTTATGCCATGGACAAGCAAAGTAGGAAAAATAGATGGCAGGAATTCTCTACTGCCATCTATTGGAAAGAAGAAGGAACGACTTCAGAAAGGTCAGAATGATGCAGTGGCTGAGGATCTTGGGATCTTGTTTTTGTTGTAATTTTTTGACTTCAGAAAGGTCAGAATGATGCAGGGGCTGAGGTCTGGGGTCTTGGGATCTTGTTTTTGTTGTAATTTTTCTTCCTTTTGTTGGACCTTCCAAATGGAGGAAAAAGAATGCAGATGTTGCTTGCATACTTTATTAGACAAATGGGATTGCTATCAATTAAAAAGAGTCTTGAGTAATTGCATGTTTAGTCTATCTTTAATGTATTGCTCAACGCTAGCTATGTTGAATGCAATGATAAGTTATAAACTGAATAAATAAATTATATGTTAAATGCTGGCTGGATAGCTCAGTGAGTTAGAGTACTTGGCTGTGGAGCCACATGTCAGTAGTTCAATTCCCCGTTGTGTCTTATGGGAGGTGAGCCGACCTGTGTAGCCTCAGGCAAGCTGCACAGTCCCAGGGCTCCCTCAGAAAAATGTAATGGTAATCCACATCTGAGTACTCCATACCTTTAAAACCCTACGAAAAGATAATCATAAGTTGTAATCAATTTGATGCCATGTAATTATTATTGTAATGGATATGGAAATGGATCTAGGCAAGCTCCAGGCATATGCATTCACTTTCCCTTCTCCTCCATGGCAGAGCACCAATGAGGAGCATTTGCTTCTGATTTTTGATTAGCTATAGTATCAAAGGCTGGGGAATATGTGAGCCTCCAGATATTGTTAGACCGCTTCTCCCATCATTGCTGCTTTAACCTCTGCCACAGCTGGGGGCTGACTGCCCTTTTCATAAATATAATGTTTGTGATGAAACATAACTTTGTTTACTTTGGTGACAGTACAGAAACCATGTGTCACAGCACTGACCAGTGGTGTATGTGGGTACAGTATCTTAAAACTGCCAGCTACTGTATAAAACAACAGGGTTTGTAAATCAAAATACATTATATTTAAAAAAGCACCTATAAAATATTGAGTTTATAGGTTAAAAAAGCAAATTATATAACAATATCTCATGCTTTTAATTTCTGCTGTATATAATCCTAAACCCTTTATTTTTCTTCTTTATAGTTTTGAACACTTACGGTCCCATAAATAGATAGATTTAGTAGAGTTAGTACTTTGACACAAGTACTAACAAATGCATACTTTTTATTTATAACTTCTTCAAAATCAGTCATTCTCATTCCAATTCCCAAATTCTGACTCCCAAACTCTGACAGCACTAATTGACTCTGTCCTTCACACACACACCTGTGTATATAAAACAGAATCTCTCCAGCTCAGAAGCATACAAATGAATTAGTTTGCAGTTCTATTCATAAAACCTCCCAGCTGCCTTAACTGTCACTCCAGGCACATAACCCACATACAGGTGTCAATCAGAGATGGGCAGAACTTCCACTGTGCAGTGCCACAGGTGCGGCATCTTCCCTCTGACCACTCCCTGGCCAGCTACCCCACTCACAAACCTTTGTGCACTGCCCAGGTCATCCTCGGTCACCAGCTGCACAGTTCTGGAAGGAGCTCAGGCTGCCCTTCCCTGCCTCCTCTGGCAGCTGACCACTGAAGTTGAGGGGGGTGGGATGGGGACTCTCCCTGTGTAGCCATTGAGTGGTTGGCTGCCGGAGGAGCTGGGAAAGGGCATCTTGAGCTACTTCCCAGACTGGGCAGCCAGTGAAGGAGGACAAACTAGGCTGTGCTGAGAGGCTTGTGAGTGGGGCAGCCAGCCAAGGGGTGGTCAGAGGGAATGTGGGGCAGCTGTGGCACCACACAGTGTGAGTTGTACACCTCTAGTGCCAATCAACTCCAGTTACTTAGCTGGCAAGCCAATACAAACCTATACACCAAATATATATACAGTGCAAAATCACCCCAGATGCTAATGTTACTACCCTTCTGGACGTAGATATCAACCAAGATGTGAAGTGTTTTTGCCATGAATTCATATCCATCTTCCAACATCCAAGTTATTTTGTTTTGTCATAATTAAATGTCGCAGGGGCACTCAAATCTTACTCAGCCTTAAGGTAGATTTCTGTGACTAAATTTAAAGAAGCTCTCTTCTAGAATAAGAGGAAACTCTTTTTTTAAAAAAATGCAGCAAATGATGTAGCAGATCAAACACATTTTCAGATTTACATGATATACCCAGGAGCAATTGTACCATCAACTGACATCTGGAGGAAACAGAAGGATGCAATGCTCTGAGGGAAGGGGACCCTCACTGCATCTCTGCCAATTTTTTTATTGCTCCCATAACTGCAGGGAAAACACACACACACACACACAGAGAGAGAGAGAGAGAGAGAGAGAGAGAGAGAGAGCTTCTTAAAAATTAATTTAGAATATCCTTGCTTAAGTTGCCGCAAATATGAAGGAGGAAAAAAGAGGCGGCCTTTAATAATATTTATTACAATAAATGGCCACAATATAGCTTTGGTTGCACACAATAAATTCCATATCACAAGTTACTGTCATTTACATTAAAAGTCCATTTAACAAGTTCTTCAAGAATTGATAGGGTCCAGATTCCAGCTATACTGACGGGATAGTGACTGATGAGCAGATCACTCTTGCTCATTTGGATCACCTACATTCTCCCCTGACTTAATTATTATTCGATTTTAGTATTGAAATCCATTTATGCTAAATTAATGTAATTTGAATGTACATTTGAGAAAATTGACAATTAATATTCTTAATTTACATTCTTATTTCCTAATGGGCAAAAATATGACCCTGTATTTTGCCTCTGTAGTCTCAGTGTTACGGGAATTTCTTCTGGTTTTCTGTCCAGTAAGTCCTGCTCTTTGAGATAGCTAATCCTTAATCAGTGCATCCACATTGTACTTTTCCTGTTTTTTTTTTATTTCTGCTGCTCTTCATTTCTGATCCTGCACAAATCTCTTGGATATAAAGACCCTCCATCTTGGAAATCCATCATGTAACTGTGACAGTCTGCTTTTCCCTTCAACTCCATTTGGTCTGCCAGCATATAAAAAGTCAGATACTTTCAAAACTTGATTAGGAAAATCCTGAAATCTTTAAACGAGGTTGAAAAATATAGGTAAGCACTCTTGTTACTGTGCCTGGTAGGCAGAGTTCTAAACTCTTGTTTGGATTAAGCATAGTCTACAACTTCCTTTCAAGCAGAATTCAGTTACAAACCATCTTTAAGCTACAGACATCTTAAATATTCTTTGTTGCTTCAACCCCAGCCCCACCATAAAGGTGATTATGTATTTGTGTTAATTTGTGTGTATGTTTGTGCATTTATTTCAGATGGCCCTGTCTCAGTAGGAATGAGCATGGATATCGCAAGTATTGATACAATATCGGAAATAAACATGGTATGGCAATTTTTGAAAAAGCATCTTTTTCTTGTTTCACTTCCCTGTTGTATTAGGTAACTCTAATCGGAAAAGCTTCCATTTGTCTTTTATGTCCAATACTTCTCATGTGCCTTGACTTTCAGAATAGGGATACCGTGGTGGAAAAAACAAGAAATTTACCCCAAGACCTTGAGACAGTGGTGGAAATCCTCTTGCGTGGCATAACTGGAGTAGGCCTGTTTGATTCAATGGAACTTAAGTTGGAATTGACTCACCAAATCCCCACTGATTCAGTGTGCCTGCTCTAGAGTGACTTACTACATAAAGCAACAGGATTTTGGCCCATGTGGACCATTTTAAGTTATGATCCTACAAATCAACTGTCATGGCAGCCCTAACTTTCCATCCTGTGTTGATTGAAGGAAATTAGGCCCTAATGCTGGTGGCTCTCCACTGACCGTTGCTTGCAGAGTGAAACTCTGCCATGTGGGGCAGATCCTGTCAAGTTGGAGGCCTTACGCAGGCAAAAAGCTAACAATTCCTCCTGCATAAGTTCCTCTGGTGGCTTGTACAGCTGGGGAAGACTCCCCAGGGAGCATTTGGTGGCAAGATTAGAGCTGGCGATAGGCCCACAGCACCCAGAACCATTAACTGAAAAGGGGCCCGATCCAAGTCCTCACCTCTACCAAAGTGGAACTTGTGTCCTGTTTTAAGCAAGATTTTAAAAATCCCTTCATTAAATTCATGCATCTTCTACCCTAGCCACCCACTTATTTATCCAAAATTTGGTAGCTTTTTCCATCTTAAAATGGCCTAATAAGAAATCAGATCACATCAAATTCTGTGAAGAAGCCAAGGTTATAGCCATCGTTATGCTCCCTGTTTTGTCAATGGGAAGACAAAGCTTTGCATGTCTTGAAGCAGAGTTCTGATTCAGAGTGAAAAAGGTAACCTTCTAAATCAGCCCAGTCTCTTTTAAACCCTTTCCAAAAAAGAGACTACACTAAATCTTGTCTTCAGTGCAGAAACCCACTAATGTTTCAGTGGCTGGTACTTCTAAACCGTTCACGTCACTTAAAACATTGAATGTAATAGTGTAAATGTACTTACTTTGCATGGTTTGTTTGGAATTTCTTTGTAGATTTTCTCTGTAGCAGAAGTGTGTGGGACAGCAAAAAGTGAAGAACAGATAGCTGGTAGTTATATTTAGACAGGCTAACAAAATAAAGAGGGGAAATGCTCCTGCTGAGGAAGTAAGTTGTTTATCTGATTCCTCTTTCAGCTAAGAGATACCTAGGGCTCCTCTCACCCCATCACTACAAATATTTTTGTATTTTCATCCATACACTAAAGTGCTTATGGTCTTTCTTTTTAGTATTAACACTGTCATTCTTTAGATGCAGGGAATAACGTATGTTGAGAGAGCTGACAGAAAAATTCTGCACATATTTCTTCAGTGGTCTCAGTTTGTGAGCATGCATAGGGCCAATCCTTAAATGCCAGATTCTGTGAGGGAGTACAAAAAATTAGCACTTGCAAAGGAGGCTGTCAGTGATTGTAGCCTGTGTGCAATGATATCACACAGAAAATGTGATAGTTCTATGCCACCAGCTAGATTCAGAAAGATATGTGCATTAAGCAGGTTATACTGAACTATCATCAATGAATTCACTCACCGATGAATTCACTCTACTGTAAGAAGAGGTTTTTTTAAAATACATTTGGCCAATCAAAGAAGGAACAACTTGCCTATTTCAATTTTTTTAAAATCATCTCTTTTCCTAGGATTATACTTCCACTATTTTCCTGAGACAGCGATGGACTGATGAACGTCTTTGTTTTGAGGGTAATAAGAGCTTAAGCTTAGATGGTCGCCTTGTAGAAATGCTTTGGGTACCGGATACCTTTATAGTGGACTCGAAAAAGTCTTTTCTTCATGATATCACTGTGGAAAACCGTCTAATAAGGATATACCCCAATGGAACGGTCCTTTATGCAATACGGTACGTTTAAAGCTAAGATGGTGCTTTCTCAAGAGCTTCTGTCCCTACTTTTGAAATTGATATTAATGATTCATGACCATTTTCAGTTTGTTTCCTCTTCTTTCACTGGATAAGTCAACTGCAGTTGTTATTCTAAGGCAGTGTCCCTCCCAAATATTGGTTCTGTATATTGGAGCTCTGACACGCACATGAAAACCTGCCCCTGCCCCTAAGGGCTACACTAGATTTCAATTTCACTTTGTAATTAATGGGAAAGCTTGCTTTGGGTAGAGCACTTTGTTCTGGTCCTGCTCTCTCACTCTCTCTCTCTCTGTGAGGGACACAGAATGTCCACAGTATAAAACTGTAGTTTTAAAAAGGCAAAAATCTATCCACACACCATCTCTTGCACCCTGTTTTTCTAAATCAAGACTTTACTGCCTGCTTAGTTGGTCACGAGGCACTATTTTATTTAAAGTTGTAAACATGCTATATGAGTGATATCATCAAGGCGGAATTATGTCAGGGGTTCTCAATGTGTGCACTGTAGCAACCTGCAGCCCTCGCAGCTCCCGGTGCGCTGCCAAGCCGGCCAGGAGCTACACAGAAGTTTCCATTTGTTTTTTCTCTGAGCTGGGCCTGCTGCGGTTGCTGCTCTTCTGGCTCCAGTTCTGGCTCCTTTGCTTCCTGCTGTACCCCACACCCCTTGCCACTCCTTCTGCTGCCACTGCTCAGAGGAGCCACGAGTCCAAAAAGGTTTGGGAGCCACTGAATTATGATATCATAATGATGGCACAGTACTATGGTGTCAGATAGGCGGTTGGCAATACCATAAAGCTAGTCTGGAGAGAGGACAATGTTTCCTGATGCCAGGGCAGAAACAGACATTGCAGACAACCTGTTAAAAGTTGAAAGTGTATTAGTGTTGGAGAAATCTGACTGAGCAGTCTTTTAGGTTTGAGAACTCAGACTTGGAAGGAATTTCTTGCTTAAGTGCCGAGGACCGATCACAGAGAGCAATTTGGAGACTCCAGGCGATGAAGGAACCCCTGCTGTGACATTTGCTGCACAATCTTTCCTTATTTCTGCCCTGCTCAGAAGAAGCAAACACTTTCGCACCTATTCGCAGCTCACCTGAAAAACCACCAAAGGAATCTCATCTTTTGCAACTTGAAGCAGCTTTTATGAAAAGATAGAAAGCTATCTATGCTATTTATGCATGCATTGGCAGAAAAACTGAACAGCTGCACGATATATATATATAGAGATAATTTTTTTAATCATTTAATTGCTTCTTTTTAAATGTCAGTATTTTCAGGAAGAGGCAAAAGCTGTGCGGAACAAATAATAATAACAATCACCTCCTCCTCCACCACCATCTTAGAACTGCAGAGCTTGAAAGGGTTTGATTTAGACATTATTGATAAAGCAAGAGCCAACGTCCTTGATGCTATATTTCCATGCAAAAATTAAAGGAACAAAGAATGGGAAGGGAAATGAAAGGAGAAGAAAATGGGGAAAATACATTTGCACTCCATATAGGCTTAGTAAACAGTAGGTTGTTGAGACTTGGGATATTATATGTTAGTCATGTGCAGCTCCTCTGTTGTTCCTTTCTGTGTCTACTGAAGATATTTTTATTTCAGTACTCCAATTACTGTTTACTACTCTTCTTCTTCTTCAACATCTTTATATGTTCACTGGTTGCCACTTTTATGTTTCATTGCCCAGAATTCTACTGGTGTTTGTGTACCTGTGGCTAATTGTAGCTAATTGAGATGCTGGAGCACCTCTTAGTTGTGCATTCAGGCATGTGACCAGGCATGACCTGGCACCTCATCAGTTAACCACTATTAGCCACGACATGTTCCAGAAACCTGATGCAAACTCTAATAGGATTGTGGCCATCGTTCCTCTTATATTATTTTATGCACTGTAATTATTTTAAAATGTTTCATTGTTTTTGTTGTTGTGTTTTCACAAGTCATACAGCTCATTCTGTAGAGCAGCAGGCTACACATTAATAATTCTGAATTTCTCCCCACTTCAAGTTTTGTTTTCACAAAACATCAACTGATCTTTTCCCCCAGCCATATGTTTTGATTTTTAAAAAAATAACTGAAATAAGTAGGATAATTTGTTTCTATTTTTGATGCACAGTATTATGCATAGACAGTAACCATCTGTACTTTGCTTTTAAAGGATAACGACAACAGTTGCCTGTAGTATGGATTTGACTAAATACCCTATGGACAAACAGACGTGCACCTTGCAACTGGAAAGCTGTAAGTGATTTTATTGCGTCCGCAAGGGGGTGGGGAGGAGGAGAACTTGAATCTCTTTGCTGGGATACATTCATCAGGCAGAGGATGCTGTAGGCAAGATCGCAGATGCCCTGCTCCTTTTCCCCCCAGCTCTAGTGTTATCAGTAAGAGTTGGTGGTATGGTATGGCTGTGGCTTAAAATAATGCCTTGTAGTCGGGATTCCATGCTGTAAATAAGCAGCAATTATGCCAGTTGCCCAGATAATTTGGTTATTTTTCCATACCATTAGAGGTATCCAGTGAGAATCTAGGTGATCCGTGTGGTTACCTTTTTGTATGCTTTAGTACTGCAACTAAAATTCTGGTCTCATAGTAGCAGTTTCTTGGCAATAGTCAGACTTTGGGAGTGATGCTTGAAATGCCCCCCTCCCCGAGAATACCTCTGTATATGTGTTTTTTGTTTGTTTGTTGTTGTTGCTCTGTTCCTTGTAGTCCTGTACTGCTCAAGTAAAAAATGAACAAACAATCTGTACCTCCCCACTGGTACAATCAAATATTCTTGTGTAGTACATTACAGTATAATAGATTGTTGCTGTTTCTACCTGGCATTTAGGCATATGAAGCCGATAGACGCTAAGGTAATTCAGACAGAATGGGGAACAATGTTATGGACCCAAACCTGCCTGAACTGCAGGCTTGTGTGGATTTCTCCCTCTCTGTTAGGAGAGTATGAGAATGGAATCAGTTACCTTGGGAGGTGGTGAGCGCTTCAGTGCTGGAGGGATTCAAGAGAAAATTGGACAACTGTCTGTCAGATCTGCTTTGATTTGGATTTCCTGCATTGAACAGGGGGTTGGACTCAATGGCTTTATAGGCCCCTTCCAACTCTATGATTCTATGATTCTCTCCTCCAGCACGCTACAGGAAATCCAAAGCACAGTGCGAGTTTTCCTGCTTTAAGCTAACCAGAGTTTGATGTTAAGTCTAAGCATTGGGCACTGAGGCTACTGGGAACCCAGACCTAAATCTGGTATGGTGCCTTTGGTAAAATTAGGGTTTTCAGTCCTTTCCCCCACAGTGCTTCGAAAAACACTGCTCTGGAGGAGATTTTTAGGACATGATGGAAGGGGCACCACAAGGCGGTGGCAGAAGATTGTTTTCACTTGCGGGTGCTGTCTCTGTGGCAATAGTGTGTACTTCCTTCTGTGACCTCCACGTGGGGAAATGGCATGGCCTGAATTTCTTGCAAAACCAAGATTAAACCTTACTGGTCTGGAGGCAGTGCTTAAATGAGTTTAGGTTTTATGAGAAAAAGTCAAGCTAGTGTATGAAATGATGAGAGAAGGAGAAGATGTGGGGAAATGACATGGCCTGAATTTCTTGCAAAACCTAAGATTAAACCTTACTTGTCTGAAGGCAGTGCTTAAATGAGTTTAGGTCTTATGAGGAAAAGTCAAGCTAGTGTATGAGATGATGAGAGAAGGAGAAGCTCACTGCCTTTTTTCCCCCTGCTCCAAGAAACTGTGGTTTGGGAGTTAAATCTAATCTGGGCATCAGAATGTCTCAGAGAAAATAGTAGATTAAAAAGATGATGAAGTATTTAAAGCAGAAAAGCATTTCTTTGCTGAGTTGCTTACATAATCCCTTTGTGTGGAAGGAAGAAGTCCAAAAAGGGGGTAACTGGATAGCTTATTGGCAAGGTCCCATATTCATATTGTAGATTTCACAGCCAAGCAAAATAACTTCAAGTACCGTTCTTGGCTGCCATCCTGTGCACAGCCAGATGATGGCAGTCCCAGTAATGAATGGGAAGTGAGTGGTACAAATCCATGTGGGATTAGAGCTGTAGCCATTTAAGGCAAATGTGCATCCTGCTTCTGCCCCGTCCCCCGAGTGTCATTTCTAGGCTTTTGACCTTTAGATCAACCTAAAAATCCCATATTTTGTGACAGGTCCTTCTTTCTGTCAAGCAATGTAATCTTGTATTACACTAGCATGTATTTTACTTTTCACTAGCTGATAGTAGATGAGTGTGCCAGCATAGTCTTAATTTTTGCCCTCACTCAGACAAGTAAAAGTTAATTACACAATATAATTCGAAAAGGGAGCCACACATTCGTTTTGTGAAAGCAAACAAATATTTTTTCTTTAGAAAATGTAAATTCACTCCAGTTCTAGTATAATCCAGCTTCTTTGTCCTTAAAATTCTAGACAGGTCAAGAGAAGGTGAAGGTTGTTGATTTAAAAAAAAAACAGTTGATTACCACCACCACTACCATCCTGAAATGGCCCAGTTTTCTAAGCATAGCCATCTAGTGGGCAATATAAAGGATGTCCAATATAAGGAAAGCTTCAAGTAAGAAAGAAGTGAGCAAACAGTGTATCCAATTAAATGTTGAGTTGCTTTCCAAACACTGAAATATCTCTTTTGAAGTAATTTGTTCCATAACACATTATAGTGTTTAAAAAGTAATCCATTATTCATTACATGATTCTAAGAATATGTTTTTACGTTGTTTATTACTTTTCTGTCCCTTTTAATTATTTTTTTAAAAAACAGACACCACCCTTAGATTTAATAAAAGCAGGGCATAAAACTTAAAAAAAATTCATGTCAAAATGCGACTTTATCCTCAACTGTCAAATTACATCTGAAGTCTACCTTGGCTATGCCTCACTTTTTAAAAATCCACCCAATAATTCTAATCCTAATCTGCCAGAGAAAAGTTCCATGGATGTAGATTTCTTGCTACCAGTGTTTGGGCTGGCTATGGGCCTCAAGATCCTGTCAGAGAGCTGGGGGTAATTGGGAGACAGCAGAAGATTGACGGCTCCACGACGGGGCCCCACACCTGTGACAGACAGGCTAGGGCTGGTGTTAAGTATTTTCCTAGCCAACGAAAGCAGTGTGAAGTGTTAAAAAAAAGAAGAGAAGCATAATAACAGCAGACATCTACTTCTATCCTCTGGGGATATTAGGACTTACCAGCCTCATTTTTCTTGCATATCTCTGAATCCCACCTTTTATCCTGTTACCAGTTCTGTATTAGGCTGCAAGACTTATTTTCTTTTCTGTGTTGAAATTTGTGTTTACTTGTGTATATATTTTGCATGGATTTTTCTTAATATATACACTTTGGTGCCTTTTCCCATTGAGTAAAGCCTGATTGTGGACACTCTGAGGACGTGCTTTCTTGTATGCATTTTTTCAAGTGGTTTTATGCACTTTTTGCTTTGCCAAAACGCATCGTAGATTCGCAAGGCAAAAATCTACTTGGTCTCCAAGGCAGTCTGAGAAGCCTGTTTTGGTAGGAAAATGTGAATGTAACAAATTATTTTCCGTTCATACATCTCCCATTACCCTGGCAAGCATTTGGAAGTCAGTGGATGATCTTTAAGGTACCACCAAATGATTTTGTTGTTGTTTTTATCCTTCTCCAGGGGTATTTTTAATCAAGTGGAGCTATATCATTATACATAAAGAGCAATCTTGCCAGGAAGAACTGTTGAACTAATTAAATAGAAAAAGCAGTTCTATGTCAGTGAGTTTCACAAGATCTCGCACTCAGAGAGAAACCAAGTAAAACCCCTCCCCCACACTTGATTTCACAGTGTGTGCTTTTCTTTTCCCCTCATAAATTATTTGAGGAATATTGTAGAATTTCTTGAAAACTTTGTCATCCTTTTTTTTTCTGGAAGAAATTTCAAGCTACACAAGATTATTACAATTCTGGCAGAATGACAACTTTCCTGTTTGAGATTTACTTGGAAAGGGCCAAAGAAAAAATGAGTTGCACAGGATTGTTACATCTACTGCACTGGTCAGAATTTGACAGATTCCTGTGTAGAAAAATGGGTGAAAGATAATTTTAATATTTAACTTACTGTGTTTTTTAATTGTGTTGACTTTAATGTTGTGAGCCGTTTTGGGTCCCTTGTTGGGAGAAATGTGGCAAATAAATAAATAAATAAATACAGTGGTGCCTCGCTTAACGAGCACTTCATTTAATGATGAATTCGCTTAGCGATGGCTTTTTCGGAGCGATCTTGCGCTCCATTTAACGATGTTCCCTATGGGCGATTTTTGCATAGCAATGTTTGGGACCATGCTTTGCATAGCGATGACAGTTTGGGTCCCCCTGTTTCGCTTAACGATGGTTTTGACAGCCTCATGTTGGCTGTTTTTTATATGATTAAAAATGTTTAAAATGTTTAGAATGCTTGAAATCATAAGTGCACTTAATAAATCCTTTGTTAAACTAATTTGACTTTGTTCCGACTCTTTTTAAATTTGTTGAAATTTCCCCCCCCATTGTAAATGAAAAATGAGACCAGAGTCTTATTTCTGAGGGAAGACAGGACACTTCATTAATGCAAGGGAGAATCTTAGTAGGGAGCCTCAGCAGGATGAGACTTGAAAAATTGCTGAGAATGAGAAACATTGTGTGTTGTCATCCTGTCTCTGATGTGCACATTTGCTTGCACTTAAGGGTTTAAATGTAGTTTTCCACTGAAATAAATGGAACAGCCTTTGGGTGGCAGAGCTTTGGCAATGCACATGAGTGCAAGAGGCCCTTTGATTTGGAGGGAAAGTAATCCACACTGTGATCTGCCAGGCTCCAAAATTGTATTCCGTGACACTTGGATAGGCAGCAAACATGCTACAGTAAGTAATGTGTAATTATTAGAAGTGACTGTTATTATTTTTTAAAAAAATTAATTAAAGCTTGCTCTTGGGTGATATACAGTGCATTCTACATCAGCAGTTTGTACACAGATCAACAGAGTCCTGTACTTATGCATTTCCCACAGGATTATCATTGGGGAAGTAAAATAAATAAACCAATCCCAATGCACCTGAAAACAAAGGAATGATACCATCTGTCACTCCAAAACTACACACAAGTGTTTCCTGATTAAATGAAAGCAAAATGTAATAAAATGATCAACGTGTGTCACATGATGTTGATTGCTTAGCTTTCTAGGGCACTAGTGAGAGAAAGAAGGTCAAGGGGGGGAAA